AAGGATTGCGTGGAAGAAGACGAGGAGGAGAAAGAGGAGGAAGAGGAGGAGGAGGAGGAGGAGGTGGAGGAGGGGGAGGAGGAGGGCGAGGGGGAAAAGGGGAGGGACGACGGGCCGGATGAAGAAGAGATTTTGGCGATGATGACGATGTTGATGTTTTTGGTTGGTGTTGTTGGTTGTTGTTATAGCAGCTGTTGTTGTTGTTGTTGTTGGTGTTGGTGTTGGTGTTGGTGTTGGTGTTGGTGTTGGTGTTGGTGTTGGTGTTGGTGTCGTTGCTGCTGTTGTTGGTGATGTGCTTGTGGTGGTTGTTTGTTTTATGTTGTTGTTGATGTTGATGGTGATGGTGCTGGTGATGGTGGTGCGGTGATGGCGACGATGGTTAGGAGGATGAGCAAGACGGAGAGGATGAAGATGATGACGAGGAGGATGAGGACGTGGAGGAGGAAGAGGAGCAAAGGACTGCCACCATTAAAATCTTCGCCGCTTTCGCCGTTGTCGTCATCATCACTCGCCCGCCCAGGTCAAACGTGTGCACGAGAAGCGTCCTTGCGTTCTTGTGACTGTTGAATTTTGCGAACAGGTTCTGGTGGGGTAATTCGTCAGTCACTGCATCTTTGGAGCTTTTCCAAAATGTCGCGCGTGGGTTGGTGTGGTCTACGTTGGAGCACTCCAGAGCGTTAGTTCGTGAATCACTTGGTTAATCGTGTAACATATCTAATGGCCTGCTGCCGTTCCGCCACCGTGGTTCAGTTGTCGGTCAGGGGCATCTTGGATGCCTGTGGGGATCTCGTGGGATGCCTCTCGGAAGCCAGGGCTGGACCTAAACGCTGTTTTGCTGGACTTCGGCTGTGTTTGGTTTTTCGTTTTGGTAGGGAGGTACAGGAAAACAGGGGGAGCAACGCGAAAAACAAAACGACAACACAACGAACAACAACATTTAGGTCCAGACCTGCCGTGATTCGGTTGTCGGTAAGGGGCCTCTTGGATGCCTGCGGGGATCTCGTGGGATGCATCTCGGAAGCCTCTCGGAGGCGGCTTGGCGGTGGTTTCGGGGACTCTCGGGGGCCTCCGGGGGCCCGCCCTGGGCGTCTCGGGCGGGGGCTGTCGGGAGCCTCAGAAGGGGGCTTCTTCTGGTGGCTGCTGGCTGTCTCGGAGGTTGTCTTGGGGAGGTCGAAATGTCGGTTTGTGCTTCCCTGGGGCGTCTCCAGAGCCTCTCGTGGGGCCCTCTTTGGCTGTTTTGGGGGCCTTTTGGGCCCCCCTGGGCTGTCTGGGGGCCCTCCTCAAGGCTTCGTTTTGGCCGTCTCGGGGCGGTCTTGGGGGCCTCTTGGGCCGTCCTGGAGAGTCGGCAGCCCGAAAAGGCGAGGACGCATTTGGGCCTCTCGGGGCCCTCCTGGGGGGCCTCTTGAAACCCTGTTGGGGCGTCTTGGGATCCCCTTGGGCCGTCCGAGGCCGTCTTGGGCGTCTTGGAGCAATCTTTCGCCGACTCTGGGCCGTCTCAGCCCATTTTGGATACCTCTTGGGGGCCTGCTGGCGGTCCGTCTCTCTTGTCTCCGACAGAGTGATGCGAGAACATTCTCCGGGCACGCGGGAAGCCTTGGGAATCTGGCAAGTTGGGATCCGGACCCCTCACTATTCATTATTTCAGAAGGGAGGGCGAAGAATTTCTGCCTCAGGGCACGGTGGTGGATACTCCACCACAGAGATTGCAGCACATAGCGTCCACCACGTAGCTGGCACATCCAGGATGCACAAGCGCATTATTTATGGCCCATGTTGGCAAACATTGCATGTGCCTTCCCTGTGCCCTCGCATTGTTTAGTTACAGCAGGGATTTGAGCTTCACATTTTCGTATGGTTCAGCATTTGTTGTTGCATTGTCCTAGCAGTTGATGGTTTGTCTGGTTCGACCGTTGTGCCAGTTGTGTTTGTAGCGCAGGTTCTTGGTGAGTTTCATTATTTTGGCAGTTCCTACTGCCGAGGGCTACATACGTTTGCATTTACAATCCATACATCGAGTGTGTTCTTAAAGCCTCTGGGCCATAACGCGCGTGATGCCCTCCCCTCCCCCCCTCCCATAACTAACGTAACGCTCTCCCCCCTCCCCCCTGTTGTGCGCCTGCGGCACTGCCATTGTGATGCCCGCAGTCGATTGTGGCGTTTGCAGAAAATTTCAACGTTCGTCGTGGTGCCCGAGGGCCTCGCAGGGCCTGCTGACGCTTCCAGCGGCCTCCGGAGATCTCCTGAGACCTCAGGAGACCTCTGTAGACCTTTAGACGCGGCCATCGTCGTCGTCGTCGTTCTTGCCGTCGTCGGCGTCGGCGTCGTCGTCGCCGTGGTCGTCGCTTGAGTCGTCGTCATCGCCGTCCTCGTCCTTGTCGTCATCGTCGTCCTCGTCCCTGTCGTCGTCGCCGTCCTCGTTCTCCTTGTCCTCCTGGTGGTCGTCGTCCTCATCATCGTCCTCGTCCTCTTCGCCGCCTCCAGAGGTCTCTGAAGACCTCTAGAGGCCTCTGGAGACCTCCAGAGACCTTCAGAGGCCGCCGTCATCGTCCCCGTCCTCGTCCTCGTCGTCGTCGTCGTCGTTGTCGTCGTCGCTGTCGTCGTCCTCGTCCTCGTCCTTGTCCTCGTCCTTGTCGCCGTCGTCCCCTTCATCGTCCTCGTCCTCGTCCTCGTCGTCGAGGACTTCGAAGGGCCACCAGTCCCCTCCAGAGGTCTCCAGAAACCTGCTGAGGCCTCCCGGGACCTCTGGAGACTTTCAGAGGCGGCCGTCGTCGTCGTCCCCGTCCTTGTCCTCGTCCTCGTCCTCGTCGTCATGGTCGTTTTGTCATCGTCCCCGTCCTCGTCCCTGTCGTCGTCGTTGTACTTCTTGTCGTCGTCGTCCTCGTCGTCGCTGAGGGCCTCGAAGGACCTTCAGACGCCTCTGGAGGTTCCTGGGAACCTCTTGAGGCCTCTGGAGACCTCCAGACACGTGCAGAGGCGTCCGTCGTCGTCGTCTTCATCCTCGTCGTCGTCGTCGTCATCGTCGTCGTCGTCTTTGTCCTCGCTGGCGTCGTGTTCCTCGTCGTCGTCGTCCTCGTCTTCGTCCTCGTCTCCGTCCCCGTCCCCGTCCCCGTCCTCGTCGTCGTCGTCGCAATCGTCGTCGTCGTCGTCGCCCGTCGTCTTCGTTATCGTCGTTTTCGTCGTCGTTGTCGTCGTCACGTCATCGTCGTCCGGCACTCAGGCGCCTTCGTCGTCCAGCAATCACCAGCACAGAATGCTGCTCGAAGGAAGGTGTGGGGGAAAGAACGCATTGTGGTGTTGCACGTAAGTACTGCGCAGTACATCGGCGATATGGTGCACGCGGCTGCGGCGGTGCATATAGTCGGCCCGCGTAGTAAGGACGGGCAACCTCCCCAATGGTTCCCTTGCATCCTTCCCTCCTTGGTCCATCCTTGGCCACTTTCGCTGGCCGCACCCCGCCTGAAAAGCTTAGAATGGGCCTTCCAAGGCCCTTGCATCCTTTCGTGCATTTAATGATACGGGTCGACTGTATGGTGCACGCGGCTGCGGCGGTGCATGCTGCGCCGCTGCGCACTGTGGTGCTTGCTGTGATACGTACAGGCGCCGTGGTGCCGGAACCACACGGCGGTGGGGGGGGGTGACGTCATGCTTCTCCCCGCTCCCCCCCAAATCGCCCGTGATGGCCGCGAATCCTGAGAGGGCGCCCGTACATACACGCTCTGGGTGTGGTTTTGGCTTGCTTGGGGTCTACCAACCATGATGCCATCGTGGGCCGAGGGGCGGCGCAATCACACGATGATAATTTGTTCTGTTGCTGGATTTCAGGGCACTCATTGCATCACTTCGTGGTGCCTTCATGTGGCCTCTCATGGGGGCTCGTGATCTGCTCGGGCTTGTACGGGAATGTCAGGTCATGTTGGGGACCTCTTAGGCATCCGTGTCGGCCTCCCCCGTCCCTCTTGGGCTGCCGCCTGGCTGTCGCCCGATCCGCTCAAATCGTTGGTTCGAGTGGGCAGCCGCGGATGGGGGGCTGAAGAGCTTGGCGCCGGTGTTGCGGCCAAGGCCCAGGCTCCAGGGCGGCAGTTTAACACGCTGGGTGGTTATCAGCGGATTTTACCAAGACCGTGGACGCTCTCGTGTACTACATCGACCCAGAGAATGAGGAAATGAAGATCGCCTACCCGACGGCCTTGTTCGACCGCAACATCACCGACGGCCGCGCCATGATGTGCTCCGTGCTGACTCTCAGCATCGGAAACAACCAGGGTATGGGTGACGTCGACTACGGCAAGATCTACGACATCTACTTCCCGCCGCAGTACCTGCGCCTGTTCGACGGGCCGTCTTGCTGCGTGATCGACATGTGGCGCATCCTGGGCCGCGGCACGGTCGGCGGTGGCCTGGTGGTCGGCACCATCATCAAGCCCAAGCTCGGCTTGCAGCCGAAGCCCTTCGGCCAGGCGTGCTATGGCTTCTGGCAGGGCGGCGACTTCATCAAGAACGACGAGCCGCAGGGCAACCAGACGTTTTGCCAAATGAACGAGTGCATCCCCGAAGTCGTGAAGGCCATGCGTGCGGCCCAGGAGGAGACGGGCCAGGGCAAGCTGTTCTCCGCTAACATCACTGCGGACGACCCGAACGAGATGATCGCGCGTGCCAAGTACATCTTGAATCAGATGGGCCCGATGGCGGAGAACTGCGCCTTTTTGGTCGACGGGTACGTGGCTGGCGGCACTGCGGTGACCGTTGCGCGCCGCAATTTCCCTAAGCAGTTTTTGCACTACCACCGCGCTGGCCACGGCGCAGTGACCAGCCCTCAGACGCAGCGTGGGTACACCGCCTTCGTGCACACCAAGCTGTCGCGCGTCATCGGTGCCAGCGGCATCCACACGGGCACGATGAGCTTCGGCAAGATGGAGGGCGATGCTTCGGACAAGAACATCGGCTTCATGCTGCAGGACGACGTCGCCGACGGCCCGTACTACCGCCAGGAGTGGGAGGGCATGAAGCAGACCACCCCGATCATCTCGGGTGGCATGAACGCACTGCGGCTGCCTGCGTTCTTCGAGAACCTGGGGCACTCCAACGTGATCCTGACGGCCGGCGGTGGGGCGTTCGGGCACAAGGACGGGCCGAAGCAGGGCGCGATCTCGTGCGCCCAGGGCGAGGAGTCGTGGAAGTTGTGGAAGGCAGGCACCTACGGCGACGTGAGCCTGTCGGACGGCGTCGTCGAGTACGCGAAGACGCACGAGGAGCTCAAGGGCGCTTTCCTGACCTTCCAGAAGGACGCGGACCAGATCTACCCGGGCTGGAAGGAGAAGCTCGGCTACACCGGCGAGTCCTCCGTCCAGGCCGCCAGCTTCAACTGGCAGAAGAAGGATTTGGCCGCGGCGTTCGTTGGCGCCAGCACGACTCGCAAAGCCAGCTCCGTGGCCCGCCGTGCCTTGGACCAGTCGAGCCGCTACGCGGACCTCTCGCTGACGGAGGAGGACCTGATCAAGAACGGCCAGCACGTGCTCGTGGCCTACATCATGAAGCCCAAGGCGGGTTACGACTACCTGGCCACGGCGGCGCACTTCGCGGCGGAGTCCTCCACTGGCACGAATGTGAACGTGTGCACCACTGACGACTTCACTAAGACTGTGGATGCGCTCGTTTACTACATCGACCCGGAGAACGAAGAGATGAAGATCGCCTACCCGACGGCCTTGTTCGACCGCAACATCACCGACGGCCGCGCCATGATGTGCTCCGTGCTGACTCTCAGCATCGGAAACAACCAGGGTATGGGTGACGTCGACTACGGCAAGATCTACGACATCTACTTCCCGCCGCAGTATCTGCGCCTGTTCGACGGGCCGTCTTGCTGCGTGATCGACATGTGGCGCATCCTGGGCCGCGGCACGGTCGGCGGTGGCCTGGTGGTCGGCACCATCATTAAGCCCAAGCTCGGCTTGCAGCCGAAGCCCTTCGGCCAGGCGTGCTATGGCTTCTGGCAGGGCGGCGACTTCATCAAGAACGACGAGCCGCAGGGCAACCAGACGTTTTGCCAAATGAACGAGTGCATCCCCGAAGTCGTGAAGGCCATGCGTGCGGCCCAGGAGGAAACGGGCCAGGGCAAGCTGTTCTCCGCCAACATCACGGCGGACGACCCGAACGAGATGATCGCGCGTGCCAAGTACATCCTGAATCAGATGGGCCCGATGGCGGAGAATTGCGCCTTTTTGGTCGACGGTACGTGGCTGGCGGCACTGCGGTGACCGTTGCGCGCCGCAACTTCCCGAAGCAGTTTCTGCACTACCACCGCGCCGGCCACGGCGCAGTGACCAGCCCTCAGACGCAGCGTGGGTACACCGCCTTCGTGCACACCAAGCTGTCGCGCGTCATCGGTGCCAGCGGCATCCACACGGGCACGATGAGCTTTGGCAAGATGGAGGGCGATGCTTCGGACAAGAACATCGGCTTCATGCTGCAGGACGACGTCGCCGACGGCCCGTACTACCGCCAGGAGTGGGAGGGCATGAAGCAGACCACCCCGATCATCTCGGGTGGCATGAACGCCTGCGGCTGCCTGCGTTCTTCGAGAACCTGGGGCACTCGAACGTGATCCTGACGGCCGGCGGTGGGGCCTTCGGGCACAAGGACGGGCCGAAGCAGGGCGCGATCTCGTGCGCCCAGGGCGAGGAGTCGTGGAAGTTGTGGAAGGCAGGCACCTACGGCGACGTGAGCCTGTCGGACGGCGTCGTCGAGTACGCGAAGACGCACGAGGAGCTCAAGGGCGCTTTCCTGACCTTCCAGAAGGACGCGGACCAGATCTACCCGGGCTGGAAGGAGAAGCTCGGCTACACCGGCGAGTCCTCCGTCCAGGCCGCCAGCTTCAACTGGCAGAAGAAGGATTTGGCCGCGGCGTTCGTTGGCGCCAGCACGACTCGCAAAGCCAGCTCCATGGCCCGCCGTGCCTTGGACCAGTCGAGCCGCTACGCGGACCTCTCGCTGACGGAGGAGGACCTGATCAAGAACGGCCAGCACGTGCTCGTGGCCTACATCATGAAGCCCAAGGCGGGTTACGACTACCTGGCCACGGCGGCGCACTTCGCGGCGGAGTCCTCCACTGGCACGAATGTGAACGTGTGCACCACTGACGACTTCACTAAGACTGTGGACGCTCTCGTTTACTACATCGACCCAGAGAACGAAGAGATGAAGATCGCCTACCCGACGGCCTTGTTCGACCGCAACATCACCGACGGCCGCGCCATGATGTGCTCCGTGCTGACTCTCAGCATCGGAAACAACCAGGGTATGGGTGACGTCGACTACGGCAAGATCTATGACATCTACTTCCCGCCGCAGTATCTGCGCCTGTTCGACGGGCCGTCTTGCTGCGTGATCGACATGTGGCGCATCCTGGGCCGCGGCACGGTCGGCGGTGGCCTGGTGGTCGGCACCATCATTAAGCCCAAGCTCGGCTTGCAGCCGAAGCCTTTCGGCCAGGCGTGCTATGGCTTCTGGCAGGGCGGCGATTTCATCAAGAACGACGAGCCGCAGGGCAACCAGACGTTTTGCCAAATGAACGAGTGCATCCCCGAAGTCGTGAAGGCCATGCGTGCGGCCCAGGAGGAGACGGGCCAGGGCAAGCTGTTCTCCGCTAACATCACTGCGGACGACCCGAACGAGATGATCGCGCGTGCCAAGTACATCCTGAATCAGATGGGCCCGATGGCTGAGAATTGCGCCTTTTTGGTCGACGGGTACGTGGCTGGCGGCACTGCGGTGACCGTTGCGCGCCGCAACTTCCCGAAGCAGTTTCTGCACTACCACCGCGCAGGCCACGGCGCAGTGACCAGCCCTCAGACGCAGCGTGGGTACACCGCCTTCGTGCACACCAAGCTGTCGCGCGTCATCGGTGCCAGCGGCATCCACACGGGCACGATGAGCTTCGGCAAGATGGAGGGCGATGCTTCGGACAAGAACATCGGCTTCATGCTGCAGGACGACGTCGCCGACGGCCCGTACTACCGCCAGGAGTGGGAGGGCATGAAGCAGACCACCCCGATCATCTCGGGTGGCATGAACGCCCTGCGGCTGCCTGCGTTCTTCGAGAACCTGGGGCACTCCAACGTGATCCTGACGGCCGGCGGTGGGGCGTTCGGGCACAAGGACGGGCCGAAGCAGGGCGCGATTTCGTGCGCCCAGGGCGAGGAGTCGTGGAAGCTGTGGAAGGCAGGCACCTACGGCGACGTGAGCCTGTCGGACGGCGTCGTCGAGTACGCGAAGACGCACGAGGAGCTCAAGGGCGCTTTCCTGACCTTCCAGAAGGACGCGGACCAGATCTACCCGGGCTGGAAGGAGAAGCTCGGCTACACCGGTGAGTCCTCCGTCCAGGCCGCCAGCTTCAACTGGCAGAAGAAGGAGTTGAGCTGAGTGCAAGCATGAGTTGGATGCAACCATGGAATGTCCATGGCAAGCACAACACTATCGTGTAGCTCAATTTTCCAGTTTTTGTTTGGGCGCCAGTGGCACAGTTTTCAGGCTTCCAGCTTTATCAGTGACGATGCTTTGGCGTGTGTTTCTGGGATGGTTGGTACAAGTTCGAATGGAACTGTTTTCAGAAATGGACAGCCCGTTCTCCTCCTCCAGTGGCTTCGGGAGAGCACCCCCCCCGCGCCGAAGCAGGGGTTCGTACCTGATTTCTGGTGGCGTGTCCGTGCCTCGGTTTGCAAGCTGTGCTCTCCTTGCGACTCTGGGCCCCCCCCTCCCCCTCCTCGGCCGCCGTCCCGCCCCCCTCCCTCCCGAACCGCTCACGTCGCTCCCCTTCTGCCCGTTGGACCCCGAGAGGAGGGAGGAGGGCGAGGATCGGCGGCGAGACAGGGGGGGAAGCGAGAAGGAGAAGGTCTTCTCTGAAGGCGGCGGGACTTCTCAGAAGCCCCTCGCGCCTCCTGAGAAGTTGTCTGTGACTTCGGGGAGGGCTTGGGGAGCTTCTCAGTCACAAGGCCGGGGGGCTTCTGAGCCCTCTGAGAAGGCCCTCCGTTTGTCACTTCCCCCAGAGCCCCAGAGCCCGCCGCCAAGAAGAGCCGGGGGGAGGAGAGAGAGGAGGGAGGGCGTGGAGCTCGAAGAGCAAACACCTGCACAAAATAAAGCATGAACTGTCGGCCTGGCATCGACCACCGATGAGCATATTGGATTCTCGTGCGAAACAGGTGCACGCACGACCCCGAGAAATGCTTGGGGAATGGACGTCCGAGCGATGGCGAGACGAGCATGAATGGTCGGGGGTCCGCGCGGAGTACTCGGATCGGCGACCTGGCGGCGCCTCCGGCGACGCCCTTAGCGCGTGTCGCGCGCCAGGGGGGGGGGTCCGGCGTCTATCCAAGAGATCCACGCGGCGCTCACAAAGTTTGTGTGTTTGTTCCTCTGGGAGAAAGGGGGAGAGTAAGGAGGAGAAGGAGGAGGAGGAGGAGGAGGAGGAGGAGGAGCAGGTGTGAGCCCTCCCCGACGGGGGGTGGTGGTCGTGGTCGGCCTTCTGGGCAACGTTAAAAAGCGACTGGGGATGAAACGCCAGGCCCCAGGAGGGGGTCCAGGCCTCTCTGGAGCCATGCTGCGACAAAAAGCACGACGTCGGATGTCTTGATCACCAGTTGGGCCATGACGTCTCAGCCCCACCAGCCCACCCCCCATGTGGGCATGAGCCCCGCGAGCCCCGTACAGGGCACGGCACAGATTCCCACCAATTCAGGCGGGGTTATTCGGCCAGTCGGGCCAAGGCCATGCCAGTGCGGCTGGGGATCGGCCAAACGATGCTCATACCCAGACATCCTCGCGTTGTGAAACAATCACGACGGAGGTTTTGGGCAATGTTCGGCCTCACGGGGCCCCTTTGGGGGGCCCTTCCCAGGCCTCGGGACCGTCGAAAAACGGCTCAGGACGAAAAGCCGGTCCCCGGGAAGGGGTCCAGTTTTCGGGGGGTCCACGTTGTGAGCAAATCACGATGTCGGTGATTCTTGGGTAATTATCTCGATCCGTGTATCGCAGGCACATGTCGTGTCGATGCGGCGGCGTCCCCCGCGCAGGAGGAGGAGGGGGAGGCGCAGGAGGAGGAGGAGGCGGAGGAGGAGAAGGCGAGGGCGCTCCCGCTTGAACGCCGCGAGTGCCCCCTTCATCCGCCGACGTCGAAGGGATCTGCGCCAGCGGGAGGCCGCGATCGCTCAAGGTTCGACGCTTCTCACGCGGTGCCTGAGGCCAGGGCTCTCACGCCCGCACCGGGGGCGCAGTCGATGGAGCCCCCGCCCTGCCAGTTCGATCAGCGAGTTGCTCGATTGCCCAGAGATCCAGCGTATTAAAGAGGTCAAGACGGAGGTTTCTCGCAGTTTTCGGCCTCTATAGGGGCCCTCACTGGGCCCAAGGACCGTCAAAAAAACGACTCAGGACGAAAAACCGGTCCTGGGGAATATGTCGAGACTTCCGGGGAGCCGTATTGAAAAGAACACGACGTCGGATCTCTGGGTATCGGTTCTCAAGAGGACGCCCCTGAGAGTTCGACCCCTCTGTTCGGATGAGAAACCCGCGTCAGTCCTCGCGGAGTTCTCGGATCTGCGCCAGGCCTCTGGCGCCGCCCCTGGGACGGAGGTGCAGCGCCGATCCGAAACATCCGCGCGGACCTCCGGCAGTATGTTTACGCCGTTCTTGCCTCCTCCAACTATCCAGCTGCCTGCCCGGAAGGCAGATGCGTGTGACATTTTTCGTATGTAGTCCCGGGATGGCAGTCACAGGTGGCGCGCTCTTCGAGTCGTGCCGGGTGCCTCTCTTGGTTCGCGTCGTCGACGGTATTTTGCCTTCCTCTTCTTCCCATCCCCCCTTCTGTCTGGGGCATCCTGGGGTCCTCTTGGGGCCTCTTGGTCGCCTCTTTGGGGCATCCTGGGGACCTCTGGGGGGCGTCTGGGGGTGGGGGACTGGCGGGGGCTCCACTGGGGGCAGTCTCACGTCGCTTCTGGCCGGCGCTGGCGCCTTCGGAGTCCGTCTCGCGGGGAGAGAGAGAGAGAGAGAGAGAGAGAGAGAGAGAAAGAGAGAAACAACAGAAAAGAAGAAGCCGTTTTGGAGCCCTCCTATGGCCTTCTGGGGCCGGCTTGGGGCTCTGTCGAAGGGGAAAACGCCACAAGCATAAACTTTTCGCGCTCCGCGAGGATTTCTTGGATCCGCGCTTGGCCCCCCCTGTCGACGCGTCCGACGCTGCCTCTGGCGCTCCGCGCGCCGGGGGTGTGGGTCCATCGCAGATCCAAGAAATCTTCACGGAGCGCCAATTGTTTATGTTTTTGGCGTTTTTTCTTCTTCTATTTCAGGGGTCTCCTGGGCCGTCTTGGATTAGAACGCCGGGGGTTCGCCAAGGGACGATTTCCCCCGAAAACAGCCTTCAGAACCACTCCGGGGAGGGTGCTCGGATGGTTTCGGGAAGGTTGCGGTCTTTCTTGGGGGAAAGCCAGTTCCTAGCGAATATTGGGTCCGCCTTGGAGGCGAATGGAGGCCCGCTGGGCCGTCTCGGCTGACAGCAGCCCGACAAGGCGAGAACGCGAACATATGTCACATACATCCGGCAAGCCAGTGATTTGGGCGTCTTTGGGCCTTGTTGGTCCTCTTGGGCCGTATCTAACGCCGACGGCACGCGCCTGCTCTTTGTCCAGTTCTCGCTCGTCCCCCCTACTCTTCCTGGGAGGCTATGGGATCAAGGCGGACAAGGCGCGATGAGCATGGCGGCCAAGGCTCGGCAGCCATTTGGCCCAAGAGCGATACGTGCGGAGCTGCGCCTGGGCCAAGCCACCATCCCCGTTCCCCTCCCCTTCCTGCTACCCTTTCCTCCTGCGCCTCCCCTTCTCCCCCTTCATCCACATCCCCTGCCCCTTCCCCATTCAATACCGTCGCCCCCTCCCCCCCCCGCCCATCTTTACCTTCCTTTCCCCGTCCCCTCCCTCCTCTCTCGTCCCCCCTCGACCTCCCTCCGTCCCCTCTCCTCTGCCGCCACAGCCGCACCATAGGAATGTTCGTCTCCCCTCCTCCCCCGAAGATGGCCCGAGAGTGGCGCACCTGCCTCCGCGCAGCGTTTTTGTTGCACAGGATGGTGTCCAACAGGTTTCTCGAGTGCGAGTGCGTGTGCGTGTGCGTGTTCGTGTGTGCGTGTGCGCGTGTGCGCGTGTGCGCGTGTGCGCGTGTGCGCGTGTGTGCGTGTGTGCGTATGTGCGTATGTGCGTGTGTGCGTGTGTGCGTGTGTGCGTGTGTGCGTGTGTGCGTGCGTGTGCGTGTGCGTGTCGTGTGCGCGTCTGCGCGTCTGCGCGTCTGCGCGTCTGCGCGTCTGCGCGTCTGCGCGTCTGCGCGTCTGCGCGTCTGCGCGTCTGCGCGTCTGCGTGTCTGCGTGTCTGCGTGTCTGCGTGTCTGCGTGTCTGCGTGTCTGCGTGTCTGCGTGTCTGCGTGTCTGCGTGTCTGCGTGTCTGCGTGTGTGCGTGTGTGCGTGTGTGCATGTGTGCATGTGTGCATGTGTGTGCGTGCGTGCGTGCGTGCGTGCGTGCGTGCGTGCGTGTGTGTTTATGTGTGTGTGTGTGTTTATGTGTGTGTGTGTGCGTGTGTGTGCGTGTATGTGTGTGTGTGTGTTTCTGTCCGAGCGATGTAGTCCCTGCCAGAAGTATTTGGTTCATCTATCTAGTGGCCTTCGGTCCATCCCGCCACCGTGCCTGGGTCGTGGGTTAGGGGCCTCTTGGATGTTCAGTTGGCAATCGTGGGAGGCCTCTCGGGGGCTTTTGGGGGGCATCTTGGGGCTTCCTTGGGGCCTCTTGGGGCGGAAGGCTCGAATTGGTGGTTCGTGCCCTCCCTCTTGGAGCCCCTCTTGGGGCCGTCTTGGGGCCCCCTTGGGTGATGTTGGGTGCCTCTTGGGCCGTTTTGGAGCCCCTTTGGACCGTTTTGGGGCCCTCTTGGGGACCTCTTGGGCCTTCTTGGGGCTGTCTTGGGGGCCTCTGGGGCTATCTTGCAGCGTCGGAAACCCGAAATCGCGAGAACCCGAAACAGAGGCAATCCTATTCTCACCATCCAAGAGTTTTCAGCAGCGGCCATGGCGAACCGCTACTGGAGTAATGATTGGCGTCGCAACAAGGCTGCTGTGTCTCATGAACATCGGTGGCGTTGTGGCCCATGCGGTTGTGCAAAGAACCTTTCCCGTTTTTGGTTCTGCAAGCAGTGCGGAGGTTTACGCTATGAAGTCATGGTGTCCCCCCGCGGAGCTGGGGATGAACCTGGTGCCCTTGCCGACGGGAAACCACTACCTGTTGGCCCGCAGGGAGGTGGTTCCAAAGCAGCTGCTTGGCCACAGTCTGTGGTTGGCAAGGACGAGTCTCTTTCCGACGAAGAGCTTAGCCAGCTCGTTTTACTCAGTCGCAAGATGGGGA